ATGGATTTCCGGTGCCTGCTGTGGGGGCGGGGAGGGGGATGGAGTTCGGGTTCCTGGGCAGGCCGGAAACGGAGACCTAGACCCCCGGCCATGCTTTTAATGGAATCTAAAGTGTCGGCAGTGCTGAAGGGCAGAGTCTTTAGTGGCAAGCTGGGTTGTGGGTGTCCGGGCCTACGGGGCGGGCTAGGGACCACATCTTGAGCCCACTGTAGAGGGAGTCCTTAAAGGAGTATGCTGGGAAATGAAGTCCGTCGGGGTGGGGGGTGGGGTCAAGGGTCTTGTTGGGGAGTGGCTTCTGAAGTGACGGGCAAGCTGGAAGGTGTGGTTCTCTGTTCCAGCGTTTGCTGGGAGGTGTGGTTCCTTGAGTTAGGGTCCTTCGGGGAATGGAGTCGGTTAACAGGCATGTGGGAGTATGGGGCTGAGATTCTCTGTGAGGGCAAGCCGACCCTGGATCAGCCCAGCAACCTCTACGCCTGCCCTTCTTTATCCCCAGGGTCTTCTTAGGCCCCTGCGGCCTTGATGCCTGGATGGGGGATGGGCAGTGGTGACCCTTGGCTAAGAACCGCCCCCATGCCCAGGGTCTTTCCTGACATTTTTTCCCCTGTCTTGGCCCATGTATACAAATGCCCATTCATTTCCATCAGGCCATCCGTCCACCCTTGTCACAATTCTGGGGCAATCGCAGGGGGCAGAAACGTCAAGATTTCAGACCCCTGAGAGTCTCTCTGTTGATGAAATACAGAAAAGTTTTCCAGGGAGCACCTAACGTCCTAGGCACTGTGCTGGGCACGGGAGTGGGGAGACTGCATAGGCAGACAAAGCTTCTAAAAGGGCTTACAGCTCGACAAGCGGGGTATTTTAATGTTTATTTAATTAATTAGTTAATTAATTTAGAGAGAGACAGAGTTTGAGCAGGGTAGGGACAGAAAGAGAGAGAGACAGAGTCCAAGGCAGGCTCCAGGCTCTGAGCTGTCAGCACAGAGCCCGATGCGGGGCTCAAACTCACCAACCGGGAGATCATGACCTGAGCCACAGCTGAGGCTTAACTGACTGAGCCACCCAGGCGCCCCACAAGCGAGGTATTTGAAAAACACAAAGAAAAGGCCTGATGTCACAAGCTGATACATACAGTGAAGAAAACAAAACGTCTTGATGGAATGTGACTAGCGGAGGGAGGGCGGCCTTTCTGAGGACAATGAGCTGAGACTTGACAAATAAGATAGGGCCTGGAGGGGAACTAGGAAGACCCACACAGGATTTGGGGGCTTTGGACCGCTTCACGGATGAAAGGGAGCGAGTGGGAGAAATGGAGGCCGGGGCCTGGAGCCTGGGAGAGGCATTTAAGCTTATTCAGACTGGGGAAGCATCTGGAGGGGAAGAGGCAGTGAGAAGTCCAGGCAAGAGAGAGGGTTTCGTGGCTTGGTGTAGGAGGTTAGTGGAGAAACTGAGAAGCAAGTGGATGTTTCTGCCTAGTTTTGCGTTTAAGTCCCTTCAGTGGACAGAGGCACCAAGGCCAGAATGGGGTGGGGGCACGGATCCGTCCATGCAGACACATAATGTAGAGTTATGTGATGGATCCTGTTGAGGAGATTAGGCCCCAAATCGAAGTTCACACGGGTAGGTCTTATCAAGACGGGGGACGGGGTGAGGCTGAGGGACCAGCACCGAAGCCGTTACCTTTGCTGTGGCTTCACCAGGCCTCAGCTAGGGGATGAGGGGCCGGGATTTCTGAGGAGGAGGAGGAGACAGGTCTACCCTCCGGACACGATTGCACAACAAATCTTTACTCGGGACTCAGCAGGCTCGGGACTCGGCGTCCCCCCTCACTCGGAACTTACCAACCCAGCCAGCAACTTGGCAACCGTGGCGGTCCTGCCAGTGTGCGCCGAGGTGCCCATGGTGGCCTTCACCCTGGAGCTGCAGCATGCTCTGCAAGCGATTGGTCAGTCGGGGAAAGGGGCGTGGCTAGAGGCCATTGGGTGGGGCGGGGCGCACATGGGCGGAGCATTGGCCAGTGAGGGCGGGGTGGACCCGGGAGTGGGGGGGGGGCGGTATTCTCTTATAGGAGAGCCTCCCTGCCCCCCCACCACTCCCCGCAACCCTGCACCCCTCTCTCTTGGCCTGGATTCCTAACTTCATCCTCACCCATCCCCAGGTCCAACCCTTCTCCTCAACAGTGACATCATCCGGGCCCGCCTAGGGGCTTCTGCCCTGGATAGGTATGTGTTTGGGGTTTGAGGACGTGGGGATGGACTTGAAGCCCAGAATTCTTTCAATTCTGGTTGAGTTCTGGGCTGTGAACCAAGGAGCATGCGCCCTATCCTCCGGTCAATGGGAGCCCGTGGATTGAATCGCCCCTGGAGGGCGCGGATGCAGGGGTCTAAGATCCCCTCCAACCCTCCAACCCGGAATGGAGCTGCATGGTTTCCGGGAGGTGTGGGACCCCTGATCAGCCCCCAGGATGGCTCACCCCCAACCCCTGTCCCAGCATCCAAGAGTTCCGGCTGTCAGGGTGGCTGGCCCAGCAGGAGGATGCCCACCGCATAGTGCTGTACCAGACTGACGCGTCGCTGACACCCTGGACTGTGCGCTGCCTACGCCAGGCCGACTGCATCCTCATCGTGGGCCTGGGTGACCAGGAGCCCACTCTTGGCCAGGTCCGGAGACCGCACACAGTGACCCCGCCCTCCCGTGCCTGCGCCGGGCCCCGCACACCCTCACCGTGGGCCTAGGCGAGCGGGGACCCAAGCTCAGCCGGGGGAGGGGGGGGGGGCGGGGAGGAAATGACCCACGATCAGTGACTTCCATCCTCCGCTACCCCACAGCTGGAGCAGATGCTGGAGAACACCGCGGTGCGCGCCCTCAAGCAGCTGGTGCTGCTGCACCGGGAGGAGGGCGCGGGCCCCACGCGCACCGTCGAGTGGCTCAACATGCGGAGCTGGTGCTCGGGGCACTTGCATCTGCGCTGTCCACGCCGCCTCTTCTCTCGCCGCAGCCCAGCCAAGTTGGTGAGGGCTGCACTTGGAGAGGGGCCC